ACTATCAGCTTTACTATAAAGATTACATAGACAAACAGTATGTTAAAGGTCCTTTTTTAAGGCCAAAAAGCTGAAGAAGTACCAAAGCAGAGCCTGAATTTGTCCCTCCTCTCTCTATGCAGCTCGACAACATGCATATATCCAGCATGACAACTTATAAGTGCTGTTTGGAAAATAAAAGCCATGAAAATTTCCTTTCCCCCGATCCCTTGTTTCATATTATCTCTGTACATTAACAGAGGTACTGTTTAAGTTGATCAGTAGACTTTACATTCCCACTGTTATTCAAAAATACACTGAAGCATCACTAAAGGCCATGACCAGATGTGGTATTCCAGTTGAAATAATCAAGGCTAAAAGGGATAAACACCTCCAATTTTATCAAGCACCACTTAGATGACCTACAAATGTAACTACTAGCATGTGTAGCTACTTCTAACTCTAGTCAAGTCAAATAGCTTGCATTAGCTCAAGAGTTCTTGAGTAGACCTAAAAAAAAAAAATTATAAAAACCCCACGAAATGGGAGAACCATTTTGATTGCACTGGAATTACGCCAGCAAATTCAAGGGACATGGAAACCTTGAATGGGAAAGGAAGGAGAACAGCAAGAAGCACTAGATGGCATGACTCCAGAGAGTTGGCAGCATCAGCAAGTGCCACAGCTTGCAGGACAGCTGGAGAACACCAGGCACTGGCCCTGATCGGCTTCCGGAGCAGGAACTCTCCAAAATACACAGGTCTCAAGGACAGCATCTGCACAATGCAGTGTTGTTAGGCCTGTTGCTAAGTACTTTTTGTCCGAGGTTTTCCCACTTCCCTCTGTTGCTTGCCTGGTTCTCACTGCTCTTGCTCTTGTATTCTGATTTTTGGCCTAGTTTCCAAACCACCTTCTGCCCTACACCATAGGTTACTGCATGCCTATACTCATTAGCTTTTTCACCTCAGCTTGTACCCCATAGAACCTGCCTCATGCCTGGACCCAAGAAGCAGAACATGTCGGACTGTGCCCTAAACTGAATGTCCCTCCATTCCCATCAAAACCTACACAACCATTAACTAGCCACTTCTTCCCTTTTAGTCCCCGACTCCCTCTTCTGACCACTTCTCACCCTCCTCAAACAAAGTCCTCTTCCACCGTTCTTCCCCATGGCCACTCAGCTTCCCTTCTGCCTGCCTTCCTCCAACTACTTGCATACCTGTGGGACGTCCTGGAGAAGCAGAGCAGTTGGAGACACTTCCAGCTCATGGGCCTCAGCTTCCCTGCAAGGAGGAGCATCTGTTGCAGGGAGAGACCTACTCATGCCATTCATGCCCAGTTTTCTCAGTTGTTCCTTGGAAACTCTGGCTGTACCTGGGAGGCTGAAGGCAAACAGCCAAGAAGGCAGTTGCAACCACTATTGCTTGTCTCAATGCCTGTTACCAGACCTGTGACATGGTTCCCATGAGCACTCCCCTGATCTGCCCCAGGCAGCTTCAACCAGGTTGTTTTTATTAGATGATTTGCTTTAACTGGTCTAATTTTGCGTGGAGCAAGGCAGGGAGCTCCCACAATATACTGTCACAGCAGTGCATGATGCTGAGCAGCTGGGGGGCTATAAAATCCTCCCTCACTGATGCAGTTGGCTTACAGGGGAGGACCTGGTCTTCACTTCGGTACACTGGAGTAATAAGAAGGGATGGAACATGTACACAGGAATGGAAAATCCTGTAACATGTCTACAAAGCACCTACAATTAGAGACTTTTCAGTGGTTCCCAAAATAGCCTGGTTTTCAGTAGCATGTTAGAAGATGCATCTTTGGTGTCAATGCCAAATGGCCGTAGCACTACTGCTCCTAAATACCCTCCTTAAAGAACAAAGAAAGGGAGATTAACCTCCCACAGTTCACTACTCCCTCCTCCGGTCTTCCCCCCCGCCCTCCCCCGCCACCAACCCTGATCTCAGAAACACCATAATTTCAGTAGCAGAAGGCATGAAACCCACCTTACAGAATCTCAGTCCAAATTGTTAATGTTTAAAACTGAGCAGCTGAAGAGACTCAGATTGTTAAGTGCCAGGTGTTGAGCAGGGCAAGCACTAACTGCCATGCCCAAGGGAGAGCACAGTGGTCACTACCTCCAGATCTTGCACTCCTATAGATGGGTGATAAATTGTTTTATGCTGATTAAATGAAATGACTTCACATCAGCCCAGTGTTAAGTGAGACAAATTCTTTGAATGTGGGCCTATCGGGAGACTTGCTGACAGCAAGACTCTGAATGCTAAAGGGCTTAACTCCAGAGTACACGCAAATTCAAAAGATTTACACTCTTGAGGATTCATCGTTCTCTTTCCTCCTAGAATTGATATAAAAGCATGAAAACTAGACTGACACACATAAAGTACATTTTAAAACAATCTAGGCTGATAGAGGTCAGTGGGTCTACATCAAGGGGGTTTCTACATTATTTACTGTAATGCCAACTCCTTCCTCAACTTGCCTGGGACAACATGTATAACTGCAATACAGAGGTGAGAGAAAAATTACAAGAACTTTCATTAATTTAGAGTCTACTATGACTCATTTTTCATTATGTCTCATCACATTCACAGCAGAAAATCCCATACATTTTTTTCCACTAACAAAAGTCATAAATACATACAAAATATTTTCTAGAGGAGTCTAGTAAATCTTCCTGCTCCATATCATCCAAGGACAACAATAAACTAACAACTGCATTTCTGCTCTCCAGTGGGGAAAGCATTTCACTGCCACAGAACTCTGCCTTACAGTACCTGAAGAAAGTGCCACAGAAACCACATATGGTGGAAAGCCTAAACTGAAACACAGCTATGTAGCACTCTGTGGATTATAGCATTTACAGCAAAACTGAAGTTGTTTTTAAATGAAAGATGTAGGTTTCTAGCCCTGCACAGTTACAAAGAAAACTTCCGAATGCAAATCAATATGAGGCTGCCTATCTAGTTCTACAGGGAGATGAAATAAAATAGCTTTATGAGAGGTGTGAATTGCCTCATTCATCTCAACTTTGAAGCCTAACGATAATTCAGATGTTAACACCAACTGTTTTACCAATGACAGATGACTTTTTTTTAATAGGAACTGCTTCCTAATATGCTTTACCTGCTGCGGTAAGATCCATGTAAGGTGGCACAGCACAGAAAATTTCAATGATATTGATACGTTTATGTTCAATTGTATTTCTTACTCATTTTCTTTTTATCTGTCAACATAAAACTCTGTAAGAAGGTTAGACTGGAAGAAGAAACAAAAGCAAAGAAAAATCTAAAGGAACCAAGGGACTATGAGATATTTGGGCCTCAGCCTCAGAAGGGGAAATTGCAAGAACAGTTGGAGAAGTGAGGAGTAACAATTTTCGACCCTCCCTTCCCCCCCCCCAAGATTTCAATACTTCCATTTTTGCCACCTCACTTGACAACCATACATGAAGCCAAGTGCTCAGACAACATGTTCTTTCCTTTAAAAATATATATCTGTCTTCCTTGAAGTGTTAATTTTACAGCAAAAATCCCAAATGCTTTTGACCAGTTTGGCTGTTTCTCATTCTCAAGTCATGCACAAAAGTTAAATTATACACAGGCTTACTAAACAGTTTCTATCAGAGTCCTCACCAGTATTTGAGCTAATTTCTATAGGATTCCATTCCCCCTTCCATTTTATTTCTTTATATTTAGGGAGAAGAAAGAGGAAAACCCAAAAATGTGAAGAAAAGCACAATGAGCTCTTGATACTATTTACACAAAAGGAATAGCAATCATTTACAGAGCTGAACCGAAACTAAGCAATTGATTACTACGCAAGACACCCCTCACTAGGGTCAATTACTTCAACTTCATCACCCATGACACAGTAATTAATTAAAACAGGCAACAGCAAGGCTACTGTATCACAAGGTCTCTGCATCTTGTTCCCTTTCTTCAGTTCCTTATGCAGATAATGCCATTGCTGTCAGGAGCAGTGACACTGATGTAAAACTAGTTTGTTGCCACGAATTGGACGCACAGGCATTGGAAGGCAATCCACAGCAGGCAAAAGAGGAAAGAGCCCAACAAACATGACAGTCAAACTAGAGATGAATACTCATTCAGCATGAGCATGCAGAAGAAATAAAATTTGCAAGTGCTGTCTCAGCAGTTTGGCCCCACACCTCTGTGCTAGTCTATCCCTCTGCACATCCACACACCCCTGCAGGTAAGGCTGGCAGAGCTGAATGCTTGTTCCAAGTTATGCCATGTTGAAAAGTGCAGGACAACTGCACAGTACTTAAGGGTAACGAAAACAACCACCATTCACCACACCCCAGAAGTACCAGTTGATAGCCCCACAGGTCACATACAAGAGACCAGTAGCCTGCTTCTGATGGTCTAGGCTGAACCTAGATTTATACTCAGATCACTTGTTCCGTGCTAGACCACATGAGCAATACTTCGCACAAAGGGCAGGAAAGAGGCAAGGTAAGTAATACCAGAGGGTTTGGTTCAGCACCCCCTGATGTCAATGGAGACACCCGGTGGCATCAACAGTCATATAAAAAACAGCTAAATATAGTTAAAAGACAGAACACTGTGCTTCATGCTTCTTAGGGGATTTAGTAGTTTGAGATTAACACAGCTCTGAACTCAGCAGGCTTTGGGTCAAACTCTTAAGTGAATCCTGTTCCAAGAGCACAGCCAGGAAACCCCAGACAACTTCCCATTATAAAAAAGTCAAAATTAATAGAAAAACAAACCTACAAAGTGTTATAGTTTAGAAACACTTTAATTACCTTAGAGTTACATGCACTTGATTTCAGACAAGTACTTGTGATTTTTAACTGCATACACTCAATTAAAATCGATGGAAGCTGAAACAGTTAAAACTCCAAACACATCAAGGAGTTGGTGACAGTATTAAGTGGTCCAAAAAGCAGCAAGGGCCCATTAGCAAACTAATCTAGCCCCCATGAAATTACGAGCCATGACAGTATTTCCACTTACACATAGTTCTTCTGAAGTCAGGAGTGGGAATGGCCTTCTGCCCTTCCTCATTTGTTTTTGCTTTGTTTTGTTCTGTCCGCCTAGACCACAGAAAATGTTCTGGTTGTACCAGGAGCAGATTCTATGTGGTGCTTCCCCCAGGGCAGCAGCAATGAGGAATGAAGAATTGGATTAAAGAAGGTCCACAATGAAATCCCACCTGAAGGGACCATTCCCATATTTCTGAGTACCAGCCATACCCCCAAGCTGGAAAGCGGCTGAGCTCACTACACATGATGCATCCTGCCACATGCTCCTGGATCCCAGCAGTATGTTTAGCAGGAAGGCCTGTATCTTGCTGGGACATCTTGAGCCAAGATAATGGATTCTGAAACAGATGCAGCTTCCCAAAAAGTGAGGAGGGGCAGGATCCTTTGGAAGATATTCCAAAAGCCTTTAAGCTGGGACCACAGACCAACAACTTTTGAAAACCAGTGTGGAAACCTTTGATGGGCTCCTAGGTTTGGCAATATGAAAATGTATGTTTGACCTTAGGCAAGTCCCTTAGTCTCCACATTTTGTTTCCCCATATGTAAAAGAGAAGGATACTTACCTTCTGTTTGTTTGCTTAGATTGCAAGCAACTCCTAGTGGAGACTGCCTTTTGCTATGTGCATGTTCAGTGTTCTGAAAGCCTGTTTTTGATTTTGATCCTATGCACCTGTTATATATATTAAGAAATCATGTTTCTTCCCTTACATCACTAAAACAAGGCACCATTCACAGTACATTGAACTGATTATGTTTCCCTTCTTGTTTGTGTTATTCCATTCAAAACTAACAGCATTACTGATGCTTCAGAGCTTATCAATCAAGATGGACAGAGCAGTCCACCGTGTCACGGAGCTGTTTGAAGCCAGCTATACACACTGGCAGGCAGCGCTGGCTACACTCAATCCACATTTGGAAAGGCCAGCGGCAGGCAGTTAGAAAGGAAGCTGGGTTGAGGATGGCAGCCATCAGAGACACAGCAGCCAAACTGACACGAGCTGGCCCTATTCAGACCTTGCTACTCAGCTAATGTTTTGGCACCTGTGATAGCGACTCTAGAATAAACTTTCCAAATCTAAGCCAACAGCCCTGCCAACAAACAACATCGACACTTTTCATCACAGTTGGGGTTTATTTCTATCAAAAGGCCACAGAGCATGGCAGGGCCGTGACCAGCAAAGGGGGAGCTCCCAGTGAGCTTTAGATCACAACCAGGTACAGCCAAACCACAGCTACTTCTTGGGAAAGGCAAATGTTTATATTTCCTGACATATCTAGGGCAAACCAGGTTAGGAAGAGTAAATTTGATTACTGCAGCTTGAAACTGAAAATGCAATACTTCAGCCAAATACATCTGTTACCATTCGGAGCAGCCCAAAGTTGTATTTTTTCCCAGACTTCAAAACTGAGATTAGGAGACTGAAGTCAAGTCTTCTCTGAGCAGAAGTTTGAAAACATTGCTCTCAGAGAAAGGCTTTCAATCTCTTTTTTTAAAAGCCCTATTTTGTTTTGGGAAGTGAGTGGTTTTTCTACGTATGCTTTGTTCTCTTGCTTTCAGACTTATTACACCTCTCCTTTTAACTGCCCATGTAAAAATAGAAGATAACTAAAAAGCACATGCTATTCTGCACTTCTGAAAAACTGATTCATTTTGTGTGTTGCAAGGAGGGAATATTTCAACTGCCAACACAGGGCAGCCATACAAGATCCTGGGTGCTGTTCCCCAAATACTACTTAGCAAGCCCCTGTCCCTTCTAAAAACATGACTCAAGCCTTCCAGTTCCCACCTTTTGCATTTCCTTATGGAAGGACAATGGGGCAGGAACATGCGACAGAAGGGTTTGAGATTCCATCCCCTGACAGACTCCCAGGACAAGTCATGTGGAGTACAGCCATACAGTATTTTGCAGACATCCATCTGTGCTTTGGAGTGTCAAGACACAAGCTCTGGTCCGGAAGCAGTAGAGGATGATCTGAATTCAGGCACAACATCATGCCAGGTATGGCTACACTGCTTGCAACACAGCACTGGATTGCAGCTATTGGGAGCATGCTGGAGCAGTACCAAATCCACCTGGAGACATAAGCATAAACAACCTTGATCTCTTTGAGCCTTGTTTTTTCAGCCACAAAGTAAGAATAATTTCCCTGCATCAGTAACAATAAAACATTGCTCAAGAATGAACACCCAAAACAGCAACACATTGAAGAACAGAGGCCAGAGCTATTCTTTACCTGGAAAATTAGAGACCTTCAGACTTGCTCTAGAAATCCTGTTTCTATTTGCAAGACACCTAAAACTTTGGCCACCTTCCTCTGTTTTCAGTAGCCTGATTTCCATCTTCTGGCCTACACACCTGCACTATAGTGAACTACTGCCAGCAAAGTCTAGGGTCAATACATAATTTTTCAAGCTAGGAGCAAATGCCCCACTGCAGCCCTGAGACATCCTACTTCATATAAGCCTCATGTCTTCAGGTATCTCCATGCTGCTGTGCTACAACACTGCAGTTTTCCACTAGCAACCTTGCAACTCAACTGCTGTTGAGAGTTTGATCACTTGAAAACTACTTTTTCTGCATGCTTCTCTTTACAATTACATGGCAGATCTGTGAATTAGTTATTTTCTTTAATGAGCATGGAATTTGATATCCCCACACTATATGTCTGCTACACAATTCCTTCTTCACAATGCTCTAAAATTTACAAAGGAGGAAGAAACATTCTTTGGGCTTAAACATCAAATCAAGTTATGATGCTTAATGAGTCACCACATCTTGAATTAACTTCATTCATTCCAGGTTAAACTAGTGCACTTTATGTCAAATTTATTTCAGACTCAGAGCACATGCGGTTAGTTACAAAGCTCATTGGACTGCATGCGTCCCAAACTTAGGCTGGATTGACTTACACAAAAAAGCTTAATACTGTATCTGTCACTAGTGCAAATGCATAGAGCACTGTTTCAGAGCAGAAAAAAAACAGAGCAGCTGTCACTTACGTGAATGTTATTGCAAAGAGGAAGGTGTTAAGAATAGGATAAGAAGCAAAAGGCCTGTATTTTAGCAAGAGAGGGTTAGGTTTCGCATTAGGAAAAAAAAACAAAGCAGCAAAGTAATTAAGCACTGGCATAAACAGCCTAAGAAGACTGTGATCACTGATTTAAACACAGATTA